CTGAAGTGAACGTTCCAACTCTTGCTTTCGAAGTTTCTTACCAGCAGTGAATGTATCATCGTGGACCAACCGCCAAGTCTGTCCTTGCACCAGAAACTGCAGAAACATCTTTCGCTCATTGGATTTTGTCAAGCAATCTGCAAGCTGAGCAAGACCATTCACCCAGCGAAATGCTGTAGACACTTTCACGGCCTGTTGCACTGAGAGCATCAACTCATAGCCGGAACGGCTTGACCTCAATCCGTGCAGAGATGAAATGTTTCTCGACATCGCATCGAAAATTCCCCTGGAGTCCATCACAATGGCGCCTTGAACGGCGTCACGAACTTGCTCATACAAGGTGGCACGTCTCAACTGCACTCCATGCAATTCTGCCCACATCGCACGAACTTTGAAAGTGATGTCCTCACCTTCTGTGGTGGCTTGGACTTCTGCTCCGTTGCTGCCCAAACATTGACGTGGCGTCTTGCCACTTTTCCAGTTTAAAATGGCAACAACATGTGGCTCACCCTGCAGAAAACCAGCGGGTGCAATTCCGGTGATATGACCTAAAGTCGAAGATTCGTCTGGCCTGTTCTTCTCACCTGCATCGCACCATGTCACGATGGCCATCTTATGCCATTCAACTCCCCAGGCAGGGAATAGGAGGCTTTGGCTGGCTTCTCTCTTAACCTCCCTTATTAGCATAGTTACTTTAACTATGGTACTTATTGTGGCATGAGGTACCTCAGAAAGCAACAAGCAAGCCTCCGCCTGGAAATGTGGTCCTGTCTGTGCTGACTTCCAAGACAGTGAACCGATGGCACCTCGGAGCATGGAAATTTCTCGGGGTGTCAAGGCTGAACTGGTTTGTGTCATGCGGTCTTTGGGAAGCTGGATCTCGTCGACCCATTTGGTTACATAGTCTTCTTGGTCAATTCGTATGGAACTGTCTGGCAACTGGGTGATATGACATCCGGCAAATTCAAACTGGTCAGACTGCCACTTGCCCCAATTATATGTGGACTGAAGATCGGCAAATGCTTTGGCAAATCGGGGGTGCTCTTCAATGCCACCTACCAGAAAATCGTCAACATGAAGACCTGCAATTCCAACGATCTGACCAAGTGTCGGGCTATTGGGTTTTTCATCATAAAGTACAAACAGGCATCTATCAGCTAGAATGCATTTCCAACCCTGGCTTTTCATCTTGGACGAGACATCATTATACCAACATCTTGGAGACTGGAAAAGACCATAGAATGCCTTGGATTACGAAGAGGCATGACAGGATTCTCAGGGTTGGCTGCAACAGCCAATGCAGCTGGTGCCCAAACGGTGAGGTCCAAATCCTCTAGGCTCTCGGATGTCTGCAGAAAGGCGGCTGTGACATCTCCCGCACGAAGCTTGAACCTGTTATTGGCACATATAGTCAAAAGGAGATTCCGGGACACACGAGCCATGGTTGGTGCTGCCGTCTGGACTTCTCCAATGCCTGCCATCTGAAACCCTAACACTACTAACCGAGCTTTGGTACTGCCATCATTCTTGGTGGTCAGGACCCACCGCATGGACATGACTTTGGAATAGTCTAGGTTGTCCCATTCTTGAGATGTCAAGGAACGCAAGGCACGGGAACTGAGGACATTACTCAACTCTTTGGCTTGTGAGATGTCATAGTTCTTTTTCTGATCCATGGATAGTTGACTCCATCTGGCTCCTTTCCCTTTTCTTGCATCTTCCGGGACAACCATATGGCAGACTTCTCAGGATTGGCGTTCAGGAAACTGAGATCGCTTGGAGTGATTGAGACTTCAAAGGCATAAAAAGAGTCTTTCTGTGTTGCTGTCATGGAGTTGATCTGGGGAGGCACTCCATGCTCTCCTGGCTTTACATCAGGGACCAACTCCTCTGAATCGGAACTGCTCGATGATTCAATAGCAACATCAGCTGCATCAACCTCCATACGGCCATATTGTGCAGACCAAGTGAATCTGCTGCCATCCTCATCTTCATGTGGACTGGCATGGCCACCTGGCAAATGCCTGGTACCTCGGTCTCTCAAAGCAGTGGTCAGTGGACTAATCCCTGGAACTTGCGGCAAAACCCGATCTTGATCATCTGGTTGCTGATCCAAACCCTCATCTGGAACAACTTCATCATCTTTTGTTTCATCATCCTGTACATCATCACGATCGGCATTCTCAGACTTCCGCTTTTGGCCAGTCGTGGTTTGGGATATCATGCTCTTTCGGGTTTTGGCTGGTCGGGATTCTGGTTTGATTTCAAGCCAAGTTTCACCAATCCAACGCTCTTGCATCAATCGGTTTGGTTCATCACTCTCTTTATAATTATCTTCTAACTTCACGGTTTCAGAACCCTTGGGAATGCCACGCAACCTTGTCTGCCTCACGCCTGTCAAACTTGCATCATCAAAAGGACATGTGGTGGCTCTTGCAGGTGTGAACAAAGCTAACCGAGGCATGTTGTGAACACGGATCAGCCATGATGTGCCGTCTTCATTGTGCAGCTTCCATGTGTCCGATCGGACTGGTTGGGCTGCCGAGGGTTCCTGCTGGACATCAGCGGCAGACAAGTCACTCTGCATCTGTTCCATAGATGGGACATCACCTGTCACATCTGAGAAATGACGGCCTGTGAAACTACGCAAGAGGCTCTCTATGGTGAATGGCATCCGCAGGATTGCGGTGCCTTCCAAATTTGCATTCAGCTCTTCCCGCCTAGTGCACGGTCTCACTTGAACATCACGGGCTCTGATTATCGTCGCTCCTGTGGCAAGCCATAGGGTTCGACCTTCGGTGTGAAGCAGACCTATCCATGAACCCCCTACACGGCCAGGACATTGTTTCTGACGCCACAACATCACCAATTGGCCTGGTTTGTAGCTCACTTGAGGTCTGGAAATGGTATTGTTGAGTTTTGACAATCTCGATTTTGCACTTTCCATTTCAAAGGCAATTCTGGCCTTTTCTTTCAACCGAAGGACACCATCAAATGCTTTCTTTGGATCTAAACCCAAGGGCAAATTTTCGGAAGGTGATGCTGATCCCCTTGTCCACTGAAACGGTGAAAAACCGGATAGTCCTACTGATTGGTTGTGACCATGAGCTGCCAACATGAAAGCATCTTCAATGGCAATGGTGGGCTCTTCACGAATCAGTCTTTCTACAGTGGATTTCAACACACGGATTGAACCTTCCTCGGCTCCAAGCATCTGGTGCGACTCTGCTGGAGTGGTGAGCAAACCAATGCCTGAGCGGCCCGCAAAATCCATCATCTGTTGGGAAATGAAATAGGTGGCACTATCCGTGAGAATCCACCTAGGTGCAGGATTGTGCATGAGCCAATGGGAAAAACCTCGGATTACATCAGAGGTGGTTGGTTCCCATGCTCAAGGCCCCTCTGTTCCACCATATTGCTGAAGAGGATACACCATCACCAGACCACACGCACGGTCTCGAATCAGCTGGAACTTGTATTTGGTATGGTTTTCATGTTCCCACTCAAAAATGTCAGAACCAATTACCTCAAACAAACCTGCCTGTTCCTGCAGAGAAGCTACTGGTGGACTTGGCGGTTGCCGAGCCTCTTTGCAGTCTGGACATGTCAATTGGCCTGCAAGGTCAATGGCCCATTGGGGAGCCTTTCGGGCTCCAAGCAGGTTCTGAAGGTTCGCAAACGACGAATGGCCGGCTACACGGTGGATTCACAGCATCTGGGCTTTCACCTCTTCAAGCTTACGACCCTTTGGTGGTTCTTGGGTAAATCGGTTTCGAGTGAGTGCTAAGATGTCAGGATTTTCATCACGACACTTTGCCTCAAACATCATCCAATCATGACACTCATGAGAAATGGGAACTGGGTGCAAATCATCATAGGTGATATCATTCTCGGCTTGCTGCAAATGAATGGATACATCTTTGGCAAGATATGGCTTTGGTCACTGCTTCTACCATGGCCTTTGGATAGTATGACGATGCAACGGCAACCTGACCCCTGCAATGGACATGATCCTCGTGACCAGGACAACGCTTCTGCAAAGCAAGCCAAACATGTCGTGATGTCGTAGCAACAGTCCAACCTTTCATGACTGGGTGTCCCTGCCAAACAAGACCATAGGCACATCCATGGAAATGGCACATGTACAATTGGCGGTTGTACTTGGCAGCAAGTCCCTTGAGATTACTTATGGCTTTAGATCTCCATCCTGCTGAAGCACCAGTTGGCCATTCCCAGCTGACATCACCTCCGGTGGAAAGAACTGGTTCCAACGCCAGTGAAACCTCATAAGCTCTTTGCAAATCATTGGACTGCCGCTTTTGGAATGCGGCTTCTTCTGCATCGGTTCTTCGGGTCAAATGGTTTAAATTGGAAAGGCGAGTGCACTTCAAACTAATCCAACAATGCTCCGGAGGAGATTGGGCTATGCGGTGTCGAAGCTTGGTGGTGCCTACTTTCCTATCCAAATCAAAACCCTCACGGTAATTGACCCTTTGAATGGAGTATCCAAGATCTTGCATGCAACTTGACAAACCTGATGTAGGGGAACATGCCACTTCCATGAAATCAGTATGATCGGACATCATCGTGAACATTGACCGAACAGAACACATCAGGATGGCACCCAAAAATGCCACATTGGCTGCAAGCTTCTTGGAAATCATTGGCTGGATGCCACAACGTTTTCCACCCCCAGGCCCTGGAACTGGCAAGGAGGCTTCGGCACAATTCAAATGGGTGCCGTCACGGTTGATCTGCTTTGATGGTTCATCATGAAAAAAAACGTGTGGCAACCTCTTGAAAAACCTTGGCTTGGGAGTCATGAACACGAGACTCCTGATGGCTGCCTTTCATCACATTGGCGCTACCAAAACTCTCAATGCCATGCTCATCTGGGAAACTTGATTGCTGCTGGCTGCCTCTAAATGGTGTGGCGCTAGAACAATCACACAACTCATCACGATATGAATTCAGGCCATGCATCTTCTGCCTCAGAGCCATCAGCGCTTGCGGGACACGGCTGATGCCTGAGCTGGGTCCTTGTTGTTCTCCTCGTCCGATGAGATGATCTCGAGGACCATAGCCTCTGCTGCCTTCGGGTCGTTGATCTCGGGCTTGGGTTCCTTCTTGACCTGCATCTTGCCCAGAACATGGTTCATCACACGTTCCTTGAACTCCTCCGGATCCAACCCATCCAGGCCTTTCTCCCTTAGGTACTTCTCGGCCGCCTCCATCAACAGGTCGGTTTGACCTTTCGGCATGGTGTAGCCGTTGGATCCCTGGTCGGTCTGATCCAGGCCCCTTCGGCGGCGATACCCCCGAAGGCTCATATTGATTGCCATGGAATTGGACAAGCCCTGCTGTAGCTGAATGCCCTTCAGGTCCATCAATTTCCCATTCACCATCTTCTCATGTGGCGATGCTCTCCATTGCCGGACCCCTTCACCTGATAGCTCATTCTGAGGCCACATTTGACGCATGCCTGCCATGTCGCATACTGGTTTGTGCGACTCTTCAGATCGTGATTCTTGTTGCATGGGAAACATCCCACCAGTCTGGGGTCGTCCTGGGCACATGGCTGTCGACGTGCTTCCATCACGGATACGTTGACGCAAATGAAAAATCTTCTAGGCCAAGGACTGTCGGATGTGAGACTGAGTCAGCTGTGTTGACATCATCATGACAGAAGGCTTTCCAAAATGAGGCCCATCATCATCAGCATGTCAGATGAACTACCGTAGTACTAGCATGAAAAACATCTTCCCATTTTCCATCCATTGCTGTCAAATCACCCTTCAAGTCAACTGAAACATGTGCTGATGGCAAAGGCTGCATCTTGACCGCCATCCATTGAGAACCCGACGCCTTGTCGTTGTAGATGAAGAGATTCTGATCGTATGCCATGATTGCCCCAATTGAACGCAAAGACCTGCCGCCCAACAAAGGTGGAGTGTTGCTTGCTTCTCCGTCCAAAACATAGAAGGCAAGAGTACCCAAAGCTGTGCTTGTCAGGTCAACTCGACTAACTGCACCTGATTGCTGACCATTCCCAAAACGAAATACCGGACGATCTTCCAAATCAACGTGATACTGAAATCCACCTTGTTGCACAAGTCTGTTCAAAGAATCTACCCCAACTGCATTCTCGGATGCTCCAGTGTCGATCACCACACATGTATCGTTCACCATGCCAGTCAGATAAATTTCACCAGGTACAAACAAAGCACTGATATCGTAAAAATGCGTAGGCTTGCCCATGCCCTTGCCCTTGAACTTTCCTTTCTTGCCAGAGCCGTAGGATCCCTTGCTATGTCCAATCTTGCCTTTTCCTTTGGAAAATCTGTCTGGACATGAACTGTACGTGTGACCATGCATGCCACAAATGAAACATGGTCCTAACCCCTTCTTGCTCTTACCAAATGATTTCCTTTGGAAAAAACACCTGATGAGCCACGGTGAGGTGAGGACGAAGGTGAACCTGAGATCCCTTTGCCTGACATTGACTCTGGGGCAAAATACCCCCTGGCTTGTCTCACTTTCCGGACTGCCTCCCTGGCTTCTGCTAACGTCTTGTTGGCTTCACCAGCAAGTGCATAGGCTTCTCTAAATTGCTGCTCCACGGGATCGGAATTGTCATCGGCATTGGCAGTATCATTCAACAGCTCTTCATCCCACGCACCTTCATCCACAAAGCTGTCTTGTTGCTGATACCATGAATCATCAGTCCATGATTGCCAGTGGCTGTATTGACTGTCATCCCAATCCCAGGTCCCTGGATCGTCAGCTTCCCACATCCAGGACTCATCCTCATCTTCGCCATGAGCTTCATACTCATTCCAGTAGAGTCGGCCTTTACGAAGACCGCCTTTTCCAAAATCATCGTCTTCAGAAAACAAAGTGCGCAATGCTCGTCTGATCTGCAAGAACCCTGTGGAATTGTTGGTCTGTGTCAATACGCTCTGTCGCTCACTGGTTGTCAATCTTGCAGACTTCAACAACCTGTAACCACGTAATTCCTCCTCAAAGAGATCACGAGTTTCCGGTTCCTTCGACTCCTGGGGTCGAGGCGCCCATGTTCGCCGTGCTGAATCATCTGGTACACTTGAATGCCTTGCCCCCAACGGACTCTGAGAAGGAGTAGACGGAGGACGATTTATGCTAGGCTCAGGCGTTCCAAAAGCCCCAGAACTCCCAGGAAATCTGCCTTCCCTAGCTCTAACCAGAGATTGTTGCAGTTGCAGAAAAAGATCTTCCTCTCTGACTAACAGCTCAGGAATTGTTTCTGAAGACAATCGCTTTAACTGATGCCACTGGTCCAAACGACGAAAAACATCTGGCACCGGAAGCTGCTGCAAGGGCGACATCCAAAGGACCTCCAAAAGTCGATGGAGCCCCTGTTCATCAGAGTAGTCATCTGGGTTCAGATGTCGGACCACTGCCTTGGCTGGTCCTTTCAGTCGAGACCAAACACGCGATGCTGCCTGTGATTGCTCACTAGAGATCAAGCCCTTGACATACCACTTACATGCAGTCACGAAAGTCTCAAACTCTGATGGGTCGCCAGAACACGTAGGAACAGAATCGACAAAGGATGAGGAATTCGCCATGGATCTAGTCGGATGCTCCAGGTAGGAGCTCCGCTACCATCAAGGTAGCAAAAGAAGCAACAATGAATTTTGGAAACCACCTAACAACTCACTAGAAATCACCACCTCAAGGTGAACATGCAAAAGGCCAACTATGGCCACGCGCAACTTCTGCTTTGACTCTGAAATGCCCGCCCTCAGGTCAGCGATCCATGTATGGTCATGTCATGAACTGGATGACTCACTCTTGCAATGGATACTCCTGGTTAGGTGTCAAAGCAATGTGATCAGTAAGCTCAGTATGTGTGTATATATATATATATGTATGTATGTATGTGTATGTGTATGTGTATGTGTATGTGTATGTGTATGTGTATGTATATGTATGTATATGTATATGTATATGTATATGTATATGTATGTGTATATGTATATGTATATGTATGTGTATGTGCATGTGCATGTGTATGTGTTTGCATATGTATATGTATATGTATATGTATGCGTATGTGTATGTGTATGTGTGTATGTGTATATGTATATGTATATGTATATGTATATGTATATGTTGTAAAATCTCTGCCGATTCACAATGACCATGCACCACAACCTTAAGCTTGGGTCACCTGCAGACCGCATGTTCTCTGAAGCTGGGGCGGCTCAGAGAGCCTTTTGAGGAGGGCGTGGTTAGCTTGAGCCATAGGTGCCTAGCTTCTGTGCTTGCTAGGCCTTTTGGTCGTGGCGACCTTACCGAGTTGGATTCAGTGCGATCTTGGAGAAACATTCAGCTGCCGTGCGGCTGCGGAGTGTCAGGGACACACTTGGAGATTGGAGATTGGGGCCTGCTGCCAGTTTGGGGATTCCAAACTGGTAGCGGGGCCAGGACGACATGTCAGGGACCTCAGAAACTTTGGGTGATGCAGGGCATGTGCCCAACCAGTTAGCAGTCTTGGTTCCTACGTTCGATCCGGCCGTGGACAATGTGGAGATCTGGACAAACAAAGTTGAGTTGTTGCTTTTGACGTGGCCTCCCACCAAAATACAAGAACTAGCTACCAGGTTGGTTTTGGGATGCAAAGGGACGGCGTTTCAGAAGTTACAACTGCACCGGGATGAGATCCTAGTGAACGACACCAAGGGAATCCAAAAGATCGTTGAGCTTGTTGGGGGAAAGTGGGGCGCAGTGCCCTTGGAAAGGAAGTTTGAGATTGTGGAGAAAGCCTTATTCAGAGGTGCCCAAAAGTCTGACGAAACAAGTGATTCCTACCTGTCCAGTGTGATGTGATCTGGACGGAATTTGTCAACAAGAAGATTGACATCAAGGAGATTCAGGCCTACATACTGTTGAGGGGTAGCAGACTCAGCAGTGACGACAAGAAACGTGTTCTGGTCGAGTCAGGTGCTGAAAGTGGTGCCAATTTGACAGTCAAAAGTGTTGAAGCCGCAATCAGAATGATCGGATCAGGTTTTTTTCAGGACATGATCGGAAACAAGCGTGACAAGAGTCTCAAAACATACGATCACACTGCCTTTTCCCTGGAAGAAGCGGCAGAAACACCATGGGATGCGGATGGAGATGTGTTTTGGGCCTCAGAAGAGACCTTGGATGATGCCACATTAGAGGCATTGGCGGCCGAGGATGACGAAGACGCAGCCTTGGTTTTACAGTTTGAAGATGCAGTGTCAGACATGGTACAAAATGATGCTGAACTAGGGGCCTACTACTCGTCATACCAGGATGCTCGAAAGCGCCTGTCAGAGAAGGTTAGGTTCCGAGGCTTCTGGAGTGTGAAGAAAGGCGAAAAAGGTGGAGGTAAGAAAGGAAAAGGAAAAGGGAAGGGCAAAGCTTCCCTTGCTACCAGAATCGCCAACTCATACTGCCGCCTGTGTATGAAGAAGGGTCACTGGAAAAATGAGTGTCCCAACAAGGGGACCAGTGGTGGAGCCTCAAGTGCGTCAACCGTGCCAACGTCCTTTGTCACGGCATCAGAAATCCCAACCGAAGTGCAATCGCTGGATGTGTCCGAGGACTGCCATCCTAAAGCCGAAGTCACTGATTGTTTTGTAAGCACTACCCACCAAATTTTTGGGAGAATTTTGGGAAAGAAACGGGATAATCTGTCAGTTGTCTCCAGGAAATGGCCGACGTTTAGCAATGCCAGCTGTCCTGACCCGAAGGTGAACCGAGCATTAAAGGGTTTGCGGCAGCGTAAACAGTGTAGAGTCGAGTCCAATGTCGATGTAGATAGCGAGATCTGCCCCAGTCTTTTTGCGTCTTCCGGATCCATAGGTGTGGTTGACTTAGGTGCCTCTCAAACAGTCATTGGCAGCCAACAAGTACCTGAGCTGTTATCACAATTGCCAGATTGGGTCCGTAAGCAGGTGAAGCGTGTTCCATGCCACTTGATTTTTCGATTTGGCAACCATCAGACTTCAGTCAGCCGTCATGCATTGCTTTTGCCTCTGGGATCTCAAAGATTCCAAATTGCCGTGGTAGAGGGACCCACTCCTTTTTTAATTTCCAGCAAATTCTTGAAAGGGATCAAAGCTGTGATTGACACAGACCTGGATGTCATGTGGAGCAAACAGCTCAACAGAAACCTGAAAATCACCCGAACCGCCAAGAATTTGATACTCATGGATTTGAATCAGTTGTGGGAGAGCCCAGAGACATCATCGCAGCTTAGCTTTCATGTGGAAGACTCAAGCAGCTCAGTGTCCGAGCCTGACAAAACGGAAGTGAGTGCCATTGCACCCGTTCCAGCCACCGTTGATGGAACTACCGAGATGTCCACCAATAAACTGGATAACCATGTGGGGTTAATTCATAATAAAGTGGAACATAATGGGGTAGCCGAACATGACACAGATGTGCTGCAGAACATGACCACGATGCCTCAAGAGACATCCGACAGTTCCCACAGCAGCGTGCTCAGTGGATCAAAGCATTCGTGCCCAGGTCAATCAGTGTCAGCAACCGGAGTTTCAGACCATGGCATCCAGCCTCACCGAGAAACTGCATCTTCTCCGAGCCAAAAGGGAGACCAGCAGTGCAGCCGATCTGATGAGCGAGATCAAACTCATGTCACTGGAGGAATTGGAGAAAGAGACGATCCAATTTGGAAAAGCCAAAGCCGGGATGAAGTTTGCAGCAGCCTTCGAGGACCACAAGTGGACCGAATGGTTTGTCTCTCAGTACGAGAAGAGCGACAAGGCAGCCCATCAGAAGTACATCACCTATGTCGAGAAACGACTGGATCAGGAGATTTCTCAGAGTCCTACCAAAATGATCAAACCCAAGAGCAACAACCAAAAGATGGGTTCCGAAGCCTCATGGAGCCATGTGAAGGAGGAGGACCTGGGGAGCGAAACCAGCAGGGAGGAGATGAGTCACAACATCGAGCAAGCTCTGAGGGTGGGAAACATGGAAGATCAGATGTGCTCTCTCTTCGAGGAGAACCAGACTCTGCACCAGCGCATGAATGGAGTCGAAGCTGCACTGAGCGAGCTGATTTCGCATGTCAAGGCGCTCAAGATGACGTCTTAGCAAGTGATTGCTTTGGGGTTCACAGTAGCATTCATGACATGGTTCCAGATTTTGAATTTCCCATTCCTAATGGTCAAAATGAGCAGTCCTTCAAAACTGAAGTGAAGAAGTTGGTGAAACAATTTTCTGCAGAACTGAAGTCTGTGAAGAGACCCAAAGTATATCAGCGACGCCTGGACTTAATTGAAGTCATGTGCCACCCGGATAGCGAACTCACCAAGCAGGCACTCCATCTTGGAGGCAGGGCACACCGGTTCGGTCTGGATCAAGGTGATCTGAGCACTTACTCCGGCCGTATGAAACTGTTTCATGAGGTGATCACATTTCGGCCAAAGCATGTGTGGTATAGCCCTGTATGCAAACCTTGGTGCAAATGGAGTCAATACAACGAACAGCGCTCATTGGATTTGCAAGCCAAAATTTTCCACGACAGGTTAGATCACTTATGGCAAGTTGCGTTGGGAATTGTTTTGTTCCGACATCAGAAGGAAAGTGGCAATCACTTTGACTTGGAACAGCCTGATGGATCACTGTTGAAGAAGGTTCCAGGGATGCAGGAAATCCTCAACTACACTTATTGTTGCAGGTTTGACATGTGTGAAGTTGGCCAACTCCGTGATCCCATGACCGATCAATTCCTGCACAAGAGGATGGAAGTTTTGTCCACCTCCAATGATCTGTTTCGTAGCCTGCACAAGCGTTTTTGCACTGGCAGCCATGAACATCAGCCTATTGCTGGTCAAACCATGGTTGGTGGCATCCGGTTTCCATTGTCACAATTTACTGAGGGATACCCGAGCCGTTTTGCTAGACAAGTTGCCCGTTGCATTTGCCATGACCAGTCACATCCTGTTTTGGTAAGTAGACTCATGGCTCCACAGGTCAGCATCGAAGAACACCCTACCAAGAAACGCAGATTGGGGCAGAAGACCGATGCTGACACTATTGCCAGGCAATTTCCGAGTGTCAATTGGCAGACAGTGCTGAAGCTGGCTGATTCAATCGCCCGCCGTGTTGGGACAATGGTCATTGACAATGGCCCACTGTTGCAACAAGTGCAAGAAATGTGCCCCCAACATGAGATCAAACACCTCGTTTTGTGCCGCGGAACTGACCGATATGTAGGCCCAAATAAGTCCATGTATCCGGGTGATGCTCCCTTGAGAAGAATGAATGCATTCGTCGCAAAGTAGAAGGGATATATGTGGATGAAGAATGGGAAGCATGGGAAAGACTCACCTACAAAGGGTTGCGTAGGAAAGCTGTTGCTGCTCGTCTGAGCCTCACGATGTTTGCACGTCCCCGGGTGACCCCTGTTCCAACAGCTGAACCTTCTGCCGACACTGTAATCCCTGCAGTCCGAGTGCATGGACTTGAAAGTCCAGAAAGTCCATCCAGCAAGCGACACCGGTGTCATGAGCCCAGCAGTCATGCAGAGCCACCACAATTGCAATTCCATACTGGTCCCAATAACAGTAACAACCCCAATAACCTGTCCAATAACACTCATAATAACCAAGAGTCCATAGGCCATGATGCAATTCCACTTGAACCACAAGACATGACCGCAGTGAGAGAAGGAGAGACTGTTCAGGAGAACTCAGAAAAGGCCGAGATCAATGGAGAAACCCGACAGGCAATTGACTTGGCATCACAAAGACATGGACCAAAGTTTTTACAATTGCCCAGCAATGAACAGTCATGGTTGTTGAAGATTCACCGTAACCTGGGCCACCCGGGTAGTCCGAAGCTGGTAGAATTTTGCCGTCAGCTCAAATGCCCGGAGCGAATTCTCCAAGCAATACCCGACTTGCAGTGTTCGACTTGCAAGGAAACGCAGATGCCAAGAATTGCCCGACCAAGTGCCATACACGAGCATGGTGACTTTGGAGATGTGATAGCGATGGATGGTATCACATGGACTAACAAACAAGGTGAACAATACCATTTCTATCATTTTCTGGATCAAAGCACATTGTATCATACTGCAGTGTGTTCAGTATCAAGGTCATCACACCATGCCTCACAAGCCCTTTTGCAGGGATGGCTGCAATGGGCAGGTGCACCCAAGTTGCTGGTCATGGATGCGGCATCGGAATTTAATTCCGACGAGTTTGGGTTGTTTTTGCAGCGGTTCGGCATCAAGAGTAGGACTTGTGCGACAGAAGGGCATTGGCAAAACTCAAGGGTGGAACGTCATGGGGGCATACTCCAAATGATTCTCAACAAAATGGATCATGAAGAAGGGATCACCTCCTATCACCAGTTGTCAGTAGCACTTGCCCAGGCCACCATGACAAAGAATCAATGGAGCCGTTACCGTGGCTATCCTCCAGAAATGCTTGTGTTTGGAAAGGGATCAAAGTTGGGGGGTTCAGTAGTAAATGATGAAGAAATCGCCTCCCATCATGCAGCTTTGCACCCGACTCCAGAAGGAGTAAAGTTCAGAGAAGAGCTAGCCACACGGGAACGTGCTCGCCGTGCCTTTGTGTCAATTGACAATGATCAAGTGTTGCGCAGAGCCCTGACTAGCCGCAGTCGACCCAATAGAGGTCAATACAGCCCAGGCACATGGATCATGCTGTGGAAACAGAAGGGAGAAGCTGAAGGCCAATGGGAAGGACCAATGCAAGTCATCATCCAAGAAGAAAACAGGGTCGTTTGGGTAACCAAGGGGACGAAATTGTACAGAGCAGCTCCTGAACATGTTCGACCTCTCTCAGCCGTAGAGGAGTGGCACCAAAATAGCTCCCATGCACCGCGTTTCCAACCGTCAAACCCTCAACAATCAATAATTCCTCAACATGGTGGGACCCAATTTCATAATCTTCCAATGCCAGATAACGTATCTCAGAATCCTAATCTTCATAACCATCTTCATCAACCTCTTGTAGCACCCGAAATGCCAGTGAATGATCAAGTCTCCCAAAGGTCAGCAGACCACAGTGTACAGAGTGATCCAGAACCAGAAGCAGCTCCCTCGGAGCCTGAACTGGGCAGTCAAGCCAATGCAAGAGTTCCCATCGTCAGCCCACCAGCGGCTCCAGCAGTGATGTCACAGAGCCAAGTAGACACACCCGTAGATGTTCCAGTGCCAACCGATGATGATGAACTTTTTGCTGAAGAAGTAGATTGTTTCTCACTGGTAGATGACTTGGCTTGGCGCCTCGAAGTGGACATCTCACAGAGGGATGTCGACCAATGGAGAGCTGAAGAACACCCAACTGAAATGGGCTTCCTGGTTTCCGCTGCCAAAAGACAGAGAAGCGAAGTAAAAATGTCACAACTGTCAAACAAAGAAAAGGAGTTATTCCACCAAGCCAAAATGAAGGAAATAGACAGCTGGTTGGCGACTGAGACAGTGGCTCGTGTCTTGCGGCATCAAATACCAGAGTCCAATATCATGCGTTGCAGGTGGATCTTGACGTGGAAGCCTGTGGACTCCCACTCTGAGGGTCCAAAACAACACACACCCAAAGCTCGCCTGGTTGTTTTGGGGTACGAGGACCCACTTGCTCATGAGATTCCAAGGGATTCCCCAACAATGTCCAAACTGTCACGAATGTTGATTCTCCAACTTGCAGCTTCCAATGGATGGGACATTGAATCCTTTGACATCAAGACGGCTTTCTTGAGGGGATCTGAACAGGGTGACAGAGTTTTGGGAATCGAACCCACTGCTGAGCTTCGGGAACGTTTAAAACTGCAACCCAATGAGGTGCTACAGTTGCTCAAGGGTGCCTACGGTCGCGTAGATGCTCCCTACCTGTGGTTCATGGAACTCAAGCGTGGTCTAGAATCTTTGGGATTCAGTGCCTCGCCTTTTGACCCTTGTACTTTCGTGTTGGTCAACCCGAAAACCGGGGCAACGGAAGGGGTCGTAGGAGTTCATGTCGACGATGGTTTATGTTGCGGCTCGAAGCTGTTTCAGGAAAAATTGACGGCTTTATCCAAGATGTTTCCATTTGGATCTCACAAGAGAAGAAATTTTACCTTCACTGGACTGAGAATTGACCAACAACCTGACCACTCCATTTACGTCAACCAGACTCAATATGTCAAAGATATACACCCTATTGCCATAGCCAAGAACCGAAAGATGCATCCAGATGAGCCAGTCAATGAAAACGAGCGACAGAGCCTGCGAGGGCTTATTGGATCACTCCAATACGCCGCAGTCAACACCCGGCCGGACCTGTGCAGCAGACTAGGAAACCTACAATCCCAAATTAACAAAGCCAAGATTTCCACTTTGAATGATGCCAATAAAACTCTTCATGAAGCCAAACTCCACTCAGATGTTACCCTTAAAATCCAACCAATTTCCCTTAACCACCTTAGATTTGCAGCCTTCTCAGACGCATCCTTTGCATCGGCCAAACTTCCCGACTCACACCAAGGAATGATGATCATGTCATGCCATGATGAACTTGGAAGAAACCGAACCAGTGTTGTGAACCCGATCATGTGGCACTCAAAAAAGATACAAAAGGTAGCAGTGAGCACGCTGTCTGCAGAGGCAATGGCCCTGGCTGGTGCGGTAGATATGTTATCCTGGGTGAGACTGTATTGGGGCTGGTTAATCGACACCAAAATTCCTTGGAAACAAGCAGATCAAACACTACTTCAATTACCACCGGCGTTTGCAGCAATTCCTCCCACCGAAGATGAAAATCCAGATATTCCCCATGACAAAGTCCAACAACTTTTACACCAGTTACCAAAGTCGAATAGCGGGATAATTACCACTGATTGTAAATCACTGTATGACCTCATCAGCCGAACTGCTCCTCCAAGCTGTCAAGAATTCCGTGCGTTGCTTCAGGCTAAGTTGATCAAAGAACACCTCCAAAATGGCATTCAAATTCGGTGGGTCCCATCAGGAGCCCAAGTTGCAGACTCGTTGACCAAAGTGATGGATAATGCCATGCTCCGGGAATGCCTCCAGCTGGGGAAATACTGTTTACATGATGAAAGCGAAATCCTCAAAGCCAGGTCAGACTCTAGAAGCAGACTGCAATGGTTGCGGCAGAACGCAAACACATATAGGGAGTGATGATATTGGAAAAGCCAAGCCGTCCTCTTGTCATCCATTTAGGGAAATATGTGAAGTTCCATCAACCTTGCGGAACATTGTGAATCTTTTGTTGTAGAGGGAATGTAAAATCTCTGCCGATTCACAATGACCATGCACCACAACCTTAAGCTTGGGTCACCTGCAGACCGCATGTTCTCTGAAGCTGGGGCGGCTCAGAGAGCCTTTTGAGGAGGGCGTGGTTAGCTTGAGCCATAGGTGCCTAGCTTCTGTGCTTGCTAGGCCTTTTGGTCGTGGCGACCTTACCGAGTTGGATTCAGTGCGATCTTGGAGAAACATTCAGCTGCCGTGCGGCTGCGGAGTGTCAGGGACACACTTGGAGATTGGAGATTGGGGCCTGCTGCCAGTTTGGGGATTCCAAAATATGTATATGTATATGTATATGTATATGTGTATGTGTATGTGTATGTGTATGTGTATATGTCTGTATGTCTGTATGTATGTATGTATGTCTGTCTGTCTGTCTGTATGTATGTATGTATGTATGTATGTGTAGATATATATATATATATACTATACATATATACTATGATGTTGACATATATTAAGTGTTAGGGCAGATTCAGCGGATTGTAGTCACACATTCTGGGCAGCTATTGATGTAGTTCTGCGCTTACGATTTGAGGACTCGGAACTTCGAACACTTGTTTTCAAGCACTGACGGAGTTTGAAGATCATCCGTTACGTTTCGAGAATCCGCAGGAACCATACAGAGACCCAGTCTGTCTAGCTGTTTCCTGGCAAATAAATAAAAAGAGTGTGTCTGTTGTAGCTATATTGATCCAGTTTTGTAATCCAAAAGGTTTCACGGTTCCAGCGTTCCGGTTCTGTTGAGGTTTGTCGGCTCGGCACACAAACGATGTACTGCTCCCAGAACCAGAGATTGAAACCCAACAGTCACTGGTGTCGGGAACTTTCCCACCTTCACAAGGGGAGTAGCATTGCATCATTCCAACTCCGAAAAGGAGAATTAGATGCAAAACTGGATATGGAACTGCAATAAGCGCAGCATAGCGCAGCATCTACAGTGGCATTTTTGTTCATATTTTGATTCCGTGTCCAACTCTGCAGCCCCGTCTGTGCCCCAACTGATCACCCCCAGCCTTCACTTGCCTGAGGATACAAATGTTCATAAGGGAAACGTTTGCGCACCATGTGCAACTGACACTACCCATACCAACAGCAAATTTCGACGCCAAACTATGTGATCTCTGCGCTATGCCAAACTATGCCAAACTATGCCAAGCTATGCCAAGCTATGCCAAGCTATGCCAAGCTATGCCAAGCTATGCCAAGCTATGCCAAGCTGCTCTTGTGCCCAGGTGATGAGTTCAGGAGTGACATGTTTCTGGATCACGGGCCAAATGTCACGAACCGCTTCTCCGTGTTCCTTGGAACCATGGCTGGAACCATGGCTGGAACCATGGCTGGAACCATGGCTGGAACCATGGCTGGAACCATGGCTGGAACCATGGCTGGAACGGTGCACAAAATTCCTCCGAGGGGCGAAGATCATTGGCTCTTCTCCGGCGCTTTGTCTGGAGAGCACTGTGAAGTAAGCTAAATTCCTTGGATCTTGGAACGAAAAGATCCAGTTCCAGTTCCACCAGGAATTGGCCCAGGATCAGTGTGTGCCATTTTGGAATAAAAAAAAACATGGTCGAATCTAAACAATCACTAAATATAGCCATTCATAGCCCTCATTTTTCTGGAAAGGGTGCTAAATTCATCTAAATTCCAAAATGCTGTTCAGTTGCTCGGCGAAACCCTGAATATAGGACTGTCCGATGCTTTTGATCCCAGAAAGAGAACCGTCACTCATCGCCAGCAGTTTTTGCAGACATTGTCCACAAGATTTTTCATCCAAGAAGTTCACTATGGCCAATCCACCATGTGTTTGCCCTCCTGAATCAGATGTGACATTGAAACCATTGAAACCATTGAAACCCTGCCAAAACCACAAATAAAAATGAAAAAAATGTTTTTGTCATCAACATGTTTCATGTTTTTTGAATTTGCATGATCCTTTTCCGTGTGTCATGTGTCCTGATTTTGGCAAGTGCACGAAATCATATTTTCGTTCGTCTTCGCAAGCTGCATCTAATATGTCGAAGATCCTTTCCAAAGTGTACGCTTTGCAAATACCTCTCCTGAGCAAACGAAAATGAACCGGGTTGGCGGTTTGGATCCAACTCCATCGAAAAAAATGTTCCAACGTTTCTGAAAAATTGAAACCGAAATAAAGCTACAACAAACCGTTCGCATTTAAATTTCGTTCAATCAACATGTTCGACAACCCAATTATTTCTATTGACGGTCTAATGTTTTCGAAACCTCCATTATGCGCACCAATCATGACACCCCTGATTTTTGTGAACAAAAACATATTTTTGGGAACCTTCGAAGTTTGCAATTTGTCACACAACAAATTCCACGCCAACATTGGCAACTCTTCTGATACACATTTTGTTGGTTTCACAAGTTGCACTTAGATGTGAACCAATCACCAAGACTTGCCAGGACTCACAAAGATACCAAACGCTGGCCCAGGCACAATGCAAGAGTGGTAATCGGGTGCCTGGTCTGCGTGGTCCGTAGTTCCGTCATTTCCCCTGGTCTGTATCGAACCGGTTGTTGAAGCACAACGGCCACGGCATGATGATGTTCCTATAGCCGGTGTTGTATCAAGCATTCGGAATTGAATGTTTTGGTGCAGGATTTGCTGCGCCTGCTTGGAGAAATTTTGAAGATTGAAGTTTTTTCCATCCATTACACATGGATTTTTTGTGAGCAACCCAACGCGATGCCACAAGCAGGACACATGGTGCAGTCAATGCTACTGTTTCATCTGAAAAAAATCGCGAAACTGGTCTCAACAAATTTCATTTCGATCAGCGAACACTTGGGTAGTATGATACCGTCCCGCCATTCTTAATCGTTCGCCGGTGTTTCCAAGGCTTCGCAATGGGCAATTTTCCCAGCAGGGTGTTGTTCGTGCCCAATCCGACTGAATTTGCAGCAAAACATTGTGCAAATTACAAACAAAAACCCAGAAACCACCTGCCAATGTTCCTGGAAAGAGCGGCTGACAACATACATTTGTAATTAACATCATCGCCATCGTCATCACCATCATCATCACCATCACCATCACCATCACCATCATCATCGTCATCGTCATCGTCATCATCATCATCATCATCAAATCACATCACATCATCACATCATCACATCATCACATCATCACATCATCACATCATCACATCATCACATCATCACATCATCACATCATCACATCATCCATCATCACATCATCACATCGTCACATCATCACATCATCTTCAAACCGTCATTATCAAAAAAACTGAAACTTAACACTTTTGGTTGTGACATCGTCATCGTCATCGTCATCAAAAACATCATCATCCGGGTGCATCCACAATATTTATCAATATTTGCAAGCGTATGCATGAAAATGTGTGTGAATGCAACACTGTATTGCAGGTCACATACATGTCGTTAATTCCGTGTACAAACAAAAACTTATATCTGGGTGTACAGATGTGTTTGAAAAAAAAATGCAATTTTATTTCCCCAATGCCGCTCGCTGACAAGCAATCATTTTCCAAGTAGGTTAGTCTCTGCGCCCAACCGTCTTGGCTGTGGGGTTGACGAAGAATGCATTGGTGGTGCCTGGGGAGGCTGGTGGGTCAAAGCAAGCATCAAATATGTGGGTCCCCCCCTCTCCCGCCACTTGGGCCAGAATGTTACCAGGGATCATGTTCACTTGAAGTGTTCACCACAATTTACATTGCAAATAATACTGCATCACACGTAATATACGTTTATTTCCACAATGCCCCTCGCTGATAAACAACCACTTCCCAAATGACTTAGTCTCTGCGTCCAGCCAACCAACTTGATTTTCATGGACGCAAAGACTTCCTCCAAAATTCACATTGTTTCAGCGGTAACATCTTCAAAACCCAAGTGGAGTAGGTGCTGTGCCTCACCTCTCGCTAGTTTGCCTGCAACCTTGCTATACGAACTAACTCCAGCTATCCAGCACAAGGTCATCACTCCAACTTCATGTTCTGCGAAGATTTGCGCCAAAACATTTGCTGTCTCGTTCTCTGAAAATCCTCGCGCCAAGCAAAACTTTGTGCCTTCAGCGCCAAAATGATTTTCTGCTCTCCAGAACACGCATCCACAACATGTGCGCAACAACAGCCCAAAATGATTCAGCGTCAAAATTTGTTCGTTTCTTTAAAAGTTCACCAAGCAAATGCCTTTTAGGCTCATCCAGGGAAAAAGACAAGAATTTGTTCATACCCGAAACTGGGTCAATCAGCACACGTCCCAACCCGCATTGAAAAACTCTGGCATCCCTTTCATAGCACACATCGGTAAAAATTACGACGACATGGCAGACCAGAAAGATTTGCGTCCACTCCTCTTCGGCCTCCAGCAAATCCACGAAAAGCATTGGCTTCGAAAACTGGCCCATGGGAGAGAGTTGTATCTCATCCCTACGGGGGAGTTTGCGATGGAATTACTCTCTCACTTGAGGAATAGAAGGATCGACCTCGACCGCGTCTCCCAGGCCTGGGCCAGACAGGATGGGAAGACACTGGACAAAACCTCGAACACCAAATTTGCGGCACGGCTCATTGCAGAGCACAGTCAAAGAGGGTTTCCACTTCGTTCAAGGTGGACATTCATTACAGAACGCATTATATCACATACAAGAGATATGAAAAAATCTAGAGGCCGCAAGAAACAGTTCAAACATAAAACTTCAAAGCAAACTAAAACTACTACTACTACTACTACTACTACTACTCTACTACTAATACGACTACGACTACGACTACGACACGACTACGACTACGACTGACTACGATGACGACTACGCATCGACTACGACTACGATACGAATACGACTACGACTACCGAACTACTACTACTACTACTTAAGGACGACGACGACGACGAGACGACGAAGACGACTACCACTACTACCA